CTTTTCATCTCGAGCCATTTTTTGATTGTTCCTGGGCCCGGTAAGTGCCCTCCTCCTCCTCCTCCTCCTCCTCCTCCTCCTCCTCCTCCTCCACGCGTACACGATCTGAATATCATTCCCCTCTCTCCCTCGGAGACGTCCTGAGAGTGGCGGCCCCGCCTCCGCGTATGGTTTTTCGGTGCATATCGGATTTGAGCGAGTTCGTGCTTCTGGTATGTTTTTAAACACCGAACGTTCTCGGTCCTCCCAGAGTGGCGCCTCGGCTGCAGCGTCGGCCTCATGTTGGGATGGGCGTTTGCTCCCGTTGTTCAGAATGGCGCTCTTGCCCCCTGCGCGGGCCACAACTCCTGGATCCGAGTGGTAAGTCGGGCCTGTCCCTCTCACAGGAGGACTATTCTACAATAGTGAAAAACGTGTGGGGACGATTTGTTTTGTTTTTTTCCCCACAGAAAAAATGGAAAATAATAAAATATACGAGTACTATACATATGTATATGTATATGTATGTATATATATATGTGTATATATATATATGTATACACTCATCCGAAATCCCCCTGTAGGGGGACAGGCCCGACCTAATCCGAATGCCTGCTCGTCGCTGTCGCCCCCCTCCCTTCCCCTCCCTTGCCTGCCTCCCTCCAGCTCCTGCTGCTGCAGGTCCTCCTCGTCGCCCTCCCTCCTCGTGTTCTGTCCCGCTCCTCTGGGTGGGCTGGAGGCCCAAAATCTTAGCCGTAGGTCATTCCCACGGTGGCTTCAGATCGGCTCAGAAGACTCGCCCCGAGAGGAGTTAGTAGTAGTAGTAGTAGTAGTAGTAGTCGTAGTCGTAGTCGTAGTCGTAGTCGTAGGCGTAGGCGTAGGCGTAGGCGTAGTCGTAGTCGTAGTCGTAGTCGTAGTCGTAGTAGTAGTAGTAGTAGTAGTTGTAGTAGTAGTAGTAGTAGTAGTCGTAGTCGTAGTAGTAGCAGTAGTAGGAATAGTAGTAGTAGTAGTAGTAGTAGTAGTAGTAGTAGTAGTAGTAGTAGTAGTAGTAGTAGTAGTAGTAGTAGTAGTCGTAGTAGTAGTAGTAGTAGTAGTAGTAGTAGTAGTAGTAGTAGTAGTAGTGTAGTAGTAGTAGTAGTAGTAGTAGTAGTAGTAGTAGTAGTAGTAGTAGGAGTAGTAGTAGTTGTCGTAGTAGTCGTAGTCGTAGTCGTAGTCGTAGTCGTAGTCGTAGGCCTAGCCGTAGTCGTAGCAGTAGTAGTAGTAGTAGTAGTAGTCGTAGTAGTAGGAGTAGTAGCATGGCTGGCCTTACCCTATTTGCCCCAGGGAGCCTCTGGGATCGTTCGGTAGTCGTCTGGTAATCGTATGGAAGCCGCACGGTAGTCGTATGGTAAGCGTACGGTAGTCGTATGGTAGTCGCATGGTAACCTTATGGTTTCCGTATGGTAATCGTATGGTAGTCGTATGGTAATCGTATGGTAGCCGTGCGGTAGCCGTATGGTAATCGTATGGTAGTCGTATGGTAATCGTCTGGCAGTCGTATGGTAGTCACGTTGTTTTCGTGTGGTAATCGTATGGCAGGCGTATGGCAATCGTATGGTAGTCTTATGGTAATCGTATGGTAGTTGTATGGTAAGCATATGGCTGTCGTGCTGTAATCGTATGGTAGTCGTATGATTCTTCGTAAGGTAATCGTATGGTAATCGTATGGTAGTCGTACGGTAAACCTATGGTCGCGTATGGCTGTCGCATGGTTTTTGTATGGTAGCCGTGTGGTGTTAGTATGGTAATCTTATGGCTTCCGCATGGAAATCGGATTGCAATCGTATGCTTTTATATAATGTTCAACAGTTTTCGCATGGTAATCGCATGGTTTTCGCACGGTACTCGTATGGCGTCCGTATGGTAGTCGTATGGTAATCGCATGGTATTCGGATGGTAATTGTATGGTAACCGTATGGTTTTGTATATGGCAATCGTATGGTAATTGTATGGTAATCGTATGGTATTATTATGGTAATCGTATGGCAATCGTACGGTAATCGTATGGTAATGGTAAGGTAGTCGTATGGTAGTCGCATGGGAATCGTATGCTAGTCGTGTGGTAACCGTATGGTAGTCGTATGGTAATCGTATGGCAGACGTATGGTAGTCGTATGGTAGTCGCATGGGAATCGTATGGTAACCGTATGGTCGTCGTACGGGAATCGTGTGGTTATCGTATGGCTTTCGCATGGTAGTCGTATGGCAGTCGTATGGTAGTCGTATGGTAATCGTATGGTAGTCGTATGGTGGGCGCATGGGAACCGTAAAGTAGTCGTATGGTAACCCTATGAAAGTTGTATGGCAGCCGTATGGTAATCGTATGACAACAGTATGGTAGCCGTAGGGTAATCGTATGACATTCGCGTGGTATTTCGTATGGTAGTCGTATGGTAATCGTATGGTAATTGTATGGTAGCCGTATGGTAACCGCATTGTAGCCGTATGGTTTTTAGCATGCTATTCGGATGGTAGTCGTATGGTCTTCTGGTGGTAATCGTATGGTTTTCCAATGGTAGTCGCATGTTATTCGTATTGTAGTCGTATGGCTTTCGCATGGTAGTCGTTGTTTTTTTTTCCGTGTGGTAATCGCATGGTTCTTCGTATGGTAATTGTATGGTAATTTAAGGTCATCGTATGGTTTTCGCATGCTAATCGTAGGTTTCTTCGCGTGGTACTCGTATGGTGGTCGTATGGTAATCGTATGGCCGTCGTTTGGTAATCGTATGGTTTCCGTATGGCTTTCGCATGGTAATCGTGTTGCATTCGTATGGTAGTCGTATGGTTTTCGTATGGTAATCGTGTGGTAATCGCATGGTAATTGTATTGTAGCGGTATGGTAACCGTTTGGTAGTCGTATGGCAATCGCATGGTAGTCGTATGGGAATCGTATGGTAGTCGTGTGGTAGCCGTATGGTGGTCGTATGGCAGGCGTATGGTAGTCACCTGGTATTCCCATGGTAGTCGCGTGGCAGCCGTATGGTAGTCGCATGGGAATCGTATGGTACTCGTATGATAACCGTATGGTAGTCGTATGGCAATCGCAAGGTCACCGTATGGTCGTCGTATGGTAAACGTATGAGAGTTGTATGGCAGCCGTATGATAGCAGCATGGTAACCGTATGGTATCCGTATGGTAATCGAAAGGTAATCGTATGGTCGTCGTATGGTATTCCCATGGTAGTCGTATGGTAACCGTATGGTAATCGTATGGCATTTGTATGGCAGTCGTATGGTAACCGTACGGAAGTCGTATGGCAATCGCATTGTAGTCGTATGGTAATCGTATGGTAGCCGTATGGCTACCGTACGGTAGTCGTATGGTAATCGTATGGTAATCGTATGGTGTTCGTGTATTTTTCGTGCGCGGCGGTCCCCCCCCCCAGGATCCCCACCACCCACCCTTGCAACCTTCCAAGTAATAAATTGGGCAAGCAGAGTAAGGTCAGCCCTAGGAGTAGTAGTAGTAGTAGTAGTAGTAGTAGTAGTAGTAGTAGTAGTAGTAGTAGTAGTAGTAGTAGTAGTAGTAGTAGTAGTAATAGTAATAGTAGTAGTAGTACTAGTAGTAGTAGTAGTAGTAGTAGCAATAGTAGTAGTAATAGTAGCAGTAGTAGTAGTAGTAGCAGTAGTGGTGGTAGTAGTAGTAGTAGTAGTAGTAGTAGTAGTAGCCGTAGTAGTAGTAGTAGTAGTAGTAGTAGTAGTAGTCGTCGTCGTCGTCGTCGTCGTCGTTGTCATCGTCGTCGTCGTCGTCGTTGTCGTTGTCGTTGTCGTTGTCGATGTAGTAGTAGTAGTAGTAGTAGTCGTCGTAGTAGTAATTGTAATCGTAGTAGTAGTAGTAGTAGTAGTGGTAGTAGTAGTAGTAGTAGTAGTAGTAGTAGTAGTAGTGGTAGTCGCTGTAGTAGTATTAGTTATGTTAGTAGTAGTAGTTAGGAGTGTAGTAGTAGTAGTAGAAAGTAGAAGTAGAAGCGAAGACTAGTAGTAGTAGTAGTAATAGTAGTAGTAGTAGTAGTTAGTAGTAGTAGTAGTAGTAGTCGTTATGTAGTAGTAGTAGTAGGCGTAGTAGTAGTAGTAGTCGTTAGTAGTAGTAGTAGTCGTAGTAGTAGTTAGTAGTAGTAGTAGTAGTAGTTGTAGTAGTAGTAGTAGTAGTGGTAGTTAGTAGTTAGTAGTAGTAGGTATAGGTTGTAGTAGTAGACCGTAGTAGTAGTAGTAGTAGTAGTAGTAGTAGTAGTAGTCGTAGTAGTAGTAGTATCAGTCGTAGTAGTAGTAGTAGAGTATTAGTAGTAGTTAGTAGTAGTAGTAGTAGTAGTAGTAGTAGTAGTAGTAGTAGTAGTAGTAGTAGTAGTAGTAGTAGTAGTAGTAGTAGTAGTCGTAGTCGTAGTCGTAGTAGTAGTAGTAGTAGTAGTAGTAGTAGTAGTAGTAGTAGTAGTAGTAGTAGTAGTAGTGGTAGTAGTAGTAGTAGTAGTAGTAGTAGTAGTAGTAGTAGTAGTAGTACTAACTCTAGTGTACACAGGTCCCCGCGTCAGACTGCGCGTGACACGATGTGGGTCCCCTCGGCTGTTCCAGGCTCGCTGTGACACCCGTTGGCCGATAGTGGTAGGGGGAGGGGCGGGCTGTCAGATAGGGCGCGAGCGCGCTGAGCTAGCCCTCCCCTCCCCTCCCTTCCCCTCCCCCGCCCCTCCCTCGCCTCCCTCCCTCGCCTCCCTCCCTCCCTCCTTCCCCCTCCCTCTTCTCCTTCTCTCTTCGACCTCGTCTCCCTCCTCAACCTCCTCATCCTCCTCCTCCTTCCCCTTTCTATCCTCCTCGTCCTCCTCCTCCTCCTCCTCCTCCACCTCTTCCTCGTCCTTCTCCTCCTCCTCCTCCTTCTCCTCCTTGTCCTCCTCCTCGTCCTCGTCGTCGTCGTTGTCCTCCTCCTCCTCCTCCTCCTCCTCCTCCTCCTCCTCCTCCCTCCCCCTCCGCCTCGTCCGTCCGCCCCGCGCCGGCAGCGGGCGCCGGTGCTCACCCCACAGGAGGCTCCCTGGACCGCCTGCAGTTCCTGCAGTTCTCCTTGCTCCAGGCAGGCCTGTGCGCGCCGGAGGACCTGAGGCGGGCCCCAGCGCCTCTTTCAGCGGCGGCAGCGACGGCGGCAGTTGATGTCGTCGTCGTCGTTCCCGCCGTCGTCGTTGTTGTCGTCGGCGGCGGCGTCGTCGGCGGCGTCGTCGTCGTCGTCGTCGTCGTTCTCGTCGTCGTCGTCGTTTCCGTCGTCGTCGTCGTCGTCGTCGCCGTCGTCGTCGTCGTCGTCGTCGTCGGGAAGCGAGAGGCGCACCTGGTCGAGCTGCCGCGGCTGACAGGAGGTCAGAGTTCTCGTCGATGCTCGTCGCGGCGCGGTGGGGGAGGATCCAAGTGAGCGTCGGAAGAAAAAACGGGTTCGACTGCGCCGATATTGGCGCGTAAGCTGCCCGCGTGAGGCTGTGCGTGAGGGCCCTCGTTTCCACTGTAGCGTGCCGCGCTGCCGGCCCGCGTAAGCCGCGGCGTAAGGTCGCTTTGCGTTCGCATGGCCATGCCCAACCGGCACCGCCGCGCGCCCGCGTGCGCGACGCGCCCTTCGGCTCGAGCCGCACGGAAACACCGATCAAAAAATGCACGGGAGAAAATCCCAATCCGTTGCTCGCGCGAAGCCTGTACAGACGGCGCCAGGTCTCGGGCCGCAGGAACCATGCATGGCTTTCAAAGGGGCCCGTGGGGGGCCCTGGGGTGGCCCGCGGAGTCAGCCACAGTAGAGCACCTCAAGCGGCTGTTTCAGATGCTCCACTCTGGCTCGCTCTCGGTTCCCCCCCCGGGGCCCTTTTGGAGCCATTTCAGGCCCCCCGAAAGCTTCAAGGGCGCCTCAAAGGATGTCAAGACGGCCACATGGCCAGCCAGAGTTGAGCATTGAACGGGTCGTTCTGGAAGCTGGCTCGATGACGGGGCCCACTGGAGCCCTTGCAGGTTCCTGTCGCGGCCATCTAGACGTCCTTCGGAGGCCCGGAGGCTTCAAACGGCCCTAAGCATAGTGGGGCACTCGAAACGGCCGTTTCAGATGTTCCACTGCGGGTCGCTCTCGGGGCCGTCTTCGGGCCCTCTTGGGGCCATCTTGCCTGGGGGGTCTTGAGTGGGCCGTGAGACGGCCTCAACCAGGCAGGGTGCGGTCTTTCAAGGCGCTCTCTTTTCCGGCTCGCCCTCGGCGTCTTGCGGGGCCCTCCAGGGGCCTGTTGGAGCAATGTTGGGAGCCCGAGGAGGCGCCAAGGGAGCTTGGGCAAGGACTCCAGAATGGCCCAGCACGTAAACAAGACTGGGGCGTCTGAAAAAGTCGCGTCAGATGTCCCAGTCTCTGCCCAAGGCGCGGATTTCCAGCGAGGGGAGGGCCCGCCCGGAACTGAGGCCAACGGCGGCGGGCTCGACGAGAGCGGCCGACGCCCCGCGGATGTGCTCATCCCCCGCTGGCGCAACGACGTCCCCGCCGCCCTTGACTTCGCGGTGACCTCTGGTCTTCGGGGCGACCTGCTCGCAGCCTCTGCAGCCGCGCCAGGCGCCGCCGCCGCGCGCCACGAGGAACAGAAACGCCAGTTCCTCGACGCGGCGCGGAGCTGCAGCGCGGCCGGCGTCACCTTCGTCCCCATGCTGATGGAGGCGCACGGCGGCGCCTGGGGCAAGGAGGCACGCCGCGCGCTAGCCGTCTTGGCGAAGCGCGCGGCGGACGCCAGTGGAGATGACCCCGCCATCGTGGCGGCGGAGCACGCCCAGCGGCTCTCGCTACTCCTCCAGAAGGAGAACGCGCGGGCCGCGCTCCGCAGGCTGCAGGCCCCGGGCAGGGTGCCCGCAGCCAGGCTGGCAGCGGCCGCTGAGAAATACCACGCGTGTAATATCTACGGTTGATCGGTTGGTGTGGAAAAAGATCAGAGGCGCTGGCGCGCCGCTCTCACTACCTGGAGAATGCAGTCGCATTGGTTACGTGGTTCTGTGTCTGATGCCAACGAGTCGTTGAAGCTTTGCTTTCGCGCTTCAGGGGGATCAGCGCGTCCATGGTTTCATGCTTTAGCCGTCTGGCAAATTTATGTATGGGATCAGTCGCGGACGGCGCCTATGTGCCGGCGGAGCGCGTTACCAATGGTTCTTCAAGAAGCAGCCCCTACCACGTGGCTCCCCAAGTCGCGTTTTCACATGTTGGTCGAAGGTGGCCCTTGCGAAAGTGGACGCCTCGGGTAAATGTTGAACATGTGAAACGGCAGTGGTTTCAGATGCTTCGTTCTTGATTGCTCCTGGCTAGTTCTTAGGGCTGTTTTGATGACGTTTTCCAGGATTCATCGAAGCTTGCCAGGGGTTTCCCAATGGCACCGGAACGGCTCAGGAGGGGCTCCGGAGGGCCCCGCGAGCTAGCCAGAGTGAAGCATAGTCAGAATTGCTCCACTCCGGTTGGCTTTTGGGGCCCGCTTGGGGCTCTCATGGGCCCCCCTGCAGGGCCCTTGGGGACTTCGAGGCAGCTCGAAGAAAGGCCCAGGGCATCCCCGACGGTCAACCGCAATGTGGCATCTGAAAACTCATGTGCACCAGTTCCGCTTAAGTTGGCTGTTGGGGCCGTTTCGGCGTCCTTAGACGCCTTCTTCGGGCTTCCCAGGAACTTCCGGATGGCCCCAAACAGGGGCCCGGCAGGGGTTCCAATGGGCCCCGCGGGCACGCCGGAGCGGAGCAGTTGAAACGGCCGGTTCGGACGTTCCGCTCCAGTTGGTTCCCGGGGCGTTCCACAGGGCCCTTTCTGGCGCCCTGGAGGCTTTCGCGGGTTTCAAAACGGCCCCGAAAGAGCCCCGGGGGGCGGCCGGAGAAGGAGCCAGAGTGGAACATTAGAAACAACCGTTTCAAATCTTCGACTTTGGTAGGCTCTTGGCGCCGTCTCGGGGCCCCGCGCGGGCCCTTTTCAAAACCATATCGGGCATCCTCTGGACCGAGGCGTCATGCTGTCTGCGCAGGTTTCGCTCGAACCACTCATTGATGCGGGTTGTCTCGTGTGCCATCTTGAACTTGCGTTGTCTTCTGACTCAGGCCGAGTGGTGCGTCGCGCGAGCAGGCGCGCGGCGATGCCCAGTCAGGGCGTCCGTTGGGTGCGATCGTGCAAACACGCGCTTTGCAGATGAATGCGCGCTTCGTTCGCGCACTTCGTTAAGGGCACCCCATATGATAATTTATTTGGCCTGGTCCGTAGTGGGTTTCGCCATCTGTTCTCCAGGTGTGCGTTCACTGGAGGTTCATTGGATTTCCATGTCATCTTACATTCGTCACAAGCCCGAAACTTGAATTGGGGTGCCGAGGGCTTGATTCGGGGAGTCCTGCTTGCAGCGGTGTCCCCGAGCGGCTCCCTTGCCCGGCGCGCCGGCGTGCAGGCCGCGTGTCCGACGATGGCGCGTTCGCCCTGGTCGCCTCCCCTTGCGGGGCCCTGGCCCGGACCGATCGGCAGCCGCTCGCCGAATGCAAAACGCGTTAGCGGCCTGTGCTCCCAGGCCAGGCGTTGCGGCGCGGGCGCAGAAGCCAGCGCTACGAGAGCGGCGCGGCGATGAAGCAGTTACTGCGCTCCCTCGCGCGCCCGAGCCGCAGCGACGTCACCCTTGGCCCCCCCTCGGCCACCCTTGCGGCGCTATTATGCAGTCGCGGGGCCGTTTTGGGATCCTTCTTGGCCCCAGTCGGGACCGTCTTGTGCAATTTTGAAGCCACCGCGTGTCTCCGCGAGCCCATCGGAAGCGAAAGATGTGAGATGTCAGCGCGCGCACACATGCACGCATGTTGTAAGCATTGTATTTTGACGGACCAGGTTTCTTGGTTGTTTCCTTGGGAGGCGCCGTTGCCATTTAGGGGCGCTTGGGGGCGGTCTCGGGGCATCCCGACGGCGAATTGGAAACGATGTTGACTCATTTCGGGCGATCTTGAGCGATGTTGGAGGTCATCCTGGACTTCCTGGATTCGTCTAGGACCATTCTGGGCCGTCCTGGGCGCTCTAGCCCATCGCTGGGGGTGGGGGCTCAATACCGAGCCCCTTAGACCACTCGCGCCCTAAAACGCTGGTGGAAATTCTACGCGACTCGCGTATAGATCATGCTCACGCGCGCACTCGTGTATTCATGAGCGCGTTCCCGCGTGCTCGCGTTCAGTTGCGCGCGTTAGCTCGCACGCGCATGCGTGCCCCCCTGCCCTCTAATCGCTGGCCATATGCGTCTCGATTTTGTGACCTGCCAGCGCGCGTCTTCACTCGTGCTTGCAAGAGCTCCCGTGCCCGGGCAATTTCTACAATTGCTCAACAAGCAGGGCTTGAATTTGTTTCCCCTTGCCCATGCCGTATCGCATCGAGTTGTACATGCTTGTAGTTGTGTGTCCATGGTTTGCCGTCTGGGCGTGTCTTGCTGTTCGCCCTCCAGGTGTTGCTCCCGTGTGGCTCCCGCCAGGTTCATGATCGTACTTTTCCTGGCAATGATATGTCTCCAATTGGTATCCCCTTCGGGGAGAGGGTTCCCCCCCTACCCCCTGGTTCTTCCAATCCCCACTCATCCCTGTCTCGCCCCGGTGCGACCCCGTCGCTGCGCTGCAGCAGTGGTGCCGCTGCGCAGCCGCCCTCAACGGCTATGCTGCGGCTGTCCCTCCCTCCCTTCGCTTCGGCATTCTGGCTGCGCCGCTGTCCCGCGGCTGTCCCGCGAGTTTCTTTCAGCGCAGAAGGGGTCGCCTCGGCGGACGCAAGCCGCGGCCTCCTCGTTCGGCGAGATCCGCATTTTGAAAAAAAAGAGCCGCCCACGCCCGTGAAGCTCGATAGAATTCTTGCAAGCTTTCCAGACGAATGTCCGCAGCGTAAGGGCGGGTGCTACATCTTGCAAAGGGGCCGCCCTCCACCCGTGAAGCTCGTGCAAAGTTCCAGAGACAATCTGCGAAGCGGAAGCTCCAGAGTTCCAAGAAGGAATCGCCCTCCACCGGCGAAGCTGCTGCAACATGTCAGGATGAACGTGCGCGGCGGCAAGGCGAGCACCAAATTCCGAGAAGGAGCCGCGCTCCGTCCGTAAAGCTGCTGCAACATGCCAAGACGCATTCGTGAAATTGCTGCAGCATTTTAGACGAATGTGCAAGGTGCCGATGCGAGAGTCTTATTTTCAAACCGACCCGCCCTCCGTACATGAAGCTGTTGCAGCTCATAGGCTTCAGGATCAGCAGCACTGAGGAAGTCCCCGGCGAACCGCCGAACCCGCCCTATCGACGCGTCTCGGGGTGCGACAAGGAGGAGTTCTGCATAAGGAGAAGGTGTTGTGGAAAGAGGAGGAGGAAGAGATTGAGGAGGAGGAGGGGGAGGAGGAGGAGGAGGAGGAGGAGGAGGAGGAGGAGGAGGAGGAGGAGGAGGAGGAGGAGGAGGACGGAGGACGGAGGACGGAGGACGGAGGACGGAAGGAGGGAGGAGGGAGGAGGAGGACAGACCTCCGCTTCGCGGAAAGCGTACCCGACCGCCTTTCCGGGCTGCCGGCCCAGCCGGCACTGCAGGCAGGCCTCGGGGGGCCGCCGCGGCGCCAGCGGCGCCCCCGCCGGGCCAGGGAGCCCGCGGGCGGCGCTCGGACGCGGGGGCCCTGCCGCTCGCGACCCCCCCCCCCCGTTCTGTCGCGCCTCGGCGGCCTGCTTCTTTCGCCGAGCGCGTTCCACTGCTCGCAAAGTGCCAACTCGCAAACGTCCGAAACACACACGTCTGCTTTGATGGAATTTATCGTAGATCCCCCGCGGGGGATCCAGGCCATTCGAGAGCAGTTCCTTTGCGAGTAGTGGAACGCGCTCGTCGATTCTTGCTCTCAGAGGAGCCTGTAGTCATGGTTGCGGTTTCCAGGACTGTCAAGAGCTCCAAAACTTTCTCGATTTTTTCCCGATTATTTCCAAGGGCCCCAGGATTATTCCCAAGGGCCCGCGGGCTCTTCCGCGCCGGCGCGTGGACGCGGGGGCCCTGCCGCTCGCGACCCCCTCCGTTCTGTCGCGCCTCCGCGGCCTGCTTCTCTTGGCATCGCTCGGACGTGTGCATTTTTCCCTCGGCGAGGGCTATCGAGGAGCCTCCTTGATCACTTGGCGAAGAAGCCACGCACGAAACCGAAAAACGTACAGGGAATGGACGTCCGAGCGATGGCCAGTTCTTGCTCTCAGAGGAGCCGGTAGTCATGGTTATGGTTTCCAGGACTGTCAAGAGCTCCGAAACTTTTTTGATTTCCCCGATCATTTTCAAGGGCCCCAGGATTTGCTGGATTTCCCGGATTTCGGTGGAAGTTTTTTTCCGTTCTGCGCGCGCTCCAGAGAGAAGGGCCGCCAGATACTCCAGAATTCCTGGGACGTGCCTTGAGCCAATCGTTTCATTACGTTTTTCTCGTCCCACCCTTCCCGCCCGTCCCCCCTCTGAGGAGGCAGGAGAGGGAGGGGGGCACGGAAGGGGGCAGGGATGCGGGAAGGAGCGAGGGAGGGAAGGGGACGACGACACCGACGACGGCGACGACGACGACGGCGACGACGGCGACGGCGACGGCGACGGCGACGGCGACGGCGACGCCGGCGACCACGACGGTGACGACGACGGCAACGACGACGGCGACGGCGACGACGATGACGACGACGACGACGGCTGCGGCGGCGGCGGCAGTGGTGACGACGGCGACGAGGGGCCGCCGCTCGCCAGCGCTGGCCCAGCCCAGCCGCTGGAGGCGCATAGACGCCGCCTTCCAGCAGTTGGCCGAGTCCGACAGCGCGCCGGGCGCGCCGCCGACTCGGGGGGGGGGGGCGTCCGCCGATCCCAGGTCTCCAGCGATACGGTCGGGAAGTTTTGGATAGCGTGTCGCTCCGCCGGTTCCCTGCTTTCTTCCTTGCCTGGTCGTTCTCCAAGGACTTCGACCTCTTGATGTACTTGCAAGCCGCTGGCACCCGCACATGTGCCACATGCTCTGAGTGTGGTCTCTCCCGCCCCGGGTCTCCTTGCCCGCGCGCTCTCGCCCCGGCGCTCGCCTCCCGTGCCCCAGGTTGTCTCCCATTGAACCCCAGTGCTGTCTGACCGCTTCTTGGAGACAAGTCGCCGCCGACTTGAAAAGTGTCGCTCCGCCGTCGCTGGCCCACCATGCTCCGACGCGACATGCCATCCACTCCCCTGTCCCCAGGATTCAGCGTCCTGGTTCCTTCCGAGCCTCCTGCACTGCGGAGCGGAGCGACACGTTATCCGCTCGCAGGGCACTGCGTGTCGCCAGGGCCGCCGCCGCGATGCGCTGAGCTCAAAGGTTCCTGGCCGCATCGAGGTTCAATCCCAGCGCTCTTCCTCGATGTCGGCCTCCGGGCCCCTGTGCAGCCGAAGCGGTTTGGGGGCCACGTGCGAACCCTGCCCCTACCCCCCACGACTTCTGCGGGGGGGATAGGGGTAGGGTTCGCATGTGGCCCCCTAGCGGTGGAAGAAGGACCGCTCTGGGCTCCCGAGGGGCCCCGGCGGTCGGTTGCCGGGCCGCTCCTCGGAGCCAGGTCGGGGGCCCGTGCGTGGCCGAGGCTCGCCCTGGCCAGGAGCGCCCTGTCGTTGCAGACGCAGCGCTCCTTCTCGTGGCACGGTGGCAGGTGTTCGGCCCCGGGGACCACGAAGAGTGCATTCGGGGCGGAAGACAGACTGACTTGACGGGCCTGATTTCCACCACCACCACCAGAAGTTGGAGGGGGAGGGGGTCCTCCTGCTCCTCCTCCTCCTCCTTCTCCTTCTCCTCCTCCTGTTCGTCGTCCTCCTCCTCCTCCCCCTCTGCAATCTGCTTCGGCTCTGACGTGGGCCGATGACTTCAACAGAGTAGTTCACCTTGGTTTCAACTCTCCCTCCCTCGTGGCTCAGTTACTTCAGCTGGGGACCCAGAGGCATCACGAGAGGGTCTTGGCTGAGCTCTCCCCGTCGCTCGTCGGAAGTAGGGTTTGCACGGAGCCTCTGGTTAGGCTGCTTGGTCCCACTAGCAAGAAACTGAGCCCGAGAGAAAAGTATTTGGCTGCCACCGTGTTCTGCTCAGGCGTGTGGACACGCGCATGAGCACGTGCGGCAGGCTACAGTTGTGACGGACCGTGTCCGTTGTGCGGTCGCCCCGACGGTGTGAAGCATCGCGTTTGGGAGTGCGACCAGCCTGATGCTGTGCAGGCTCGCCAGGACGTTACCGACGACCATCCCACTTGGCTGGCCGAGGGGATTAGCAGCGACGACCGTTGTTTCTGGGACGACCTTAAATGGGATTACCCTGGGGCCCGAATGCCCCGCCCTAGTGACGACCCCAACCCCAAGTTGTATGATCCCTCAGGCAAAGAAATCCAGTGGGATTCCTTGGACCTCCGAGGCCTCGACGTCTGCATGGATGGGTCGTGCGCTCGGCATGTGATTAGGGATTTGTCTCGGGCCGCCTATGCCTGGGTCTTTTTGGACGACGCTGGTGATGTTCGCGCCTTCGCCAAAGGAGCTGTGTGGGACGTCCTCCAGCAGACCCCCCAGGCGGCCGAGCACCAGGCTATGGCGGTGTTGCTTATGTTTGTTGAGTACAGCGGTGACAGATACTCGGATTGCGCTACGGTGACTAAGCTGTGTAACACTTCGTCGCATCACCAAGTGTCTTATAAACATCGTTACGGAAGAATGCGTCTGGGGTCCTTGCTCTTTGAGAAATCGGACCATGAGGTTCGTGTCTTCCATACCCCCGCTCATATATCTCAGGAGGTCCTCGACAGTCTTTCTGGGCCCGAGAGGAGGATCGTCATAGGTAATCGATATGCCGACTCGTTCGCCAAACAAGCTCTCCTTCTCCACCCCCAAGCCTCCGAAGCTCTCTACCAAGAAGTTAGCGAGCAGACTGACAAGTTAGTGTTTGCGACCAAAGTCATGGCTAAAGTGTTGTGCGTTTTCCCCGTCGAGAGGTTCGAACGGAGCCCTTCTGGACCTAGGTTGCAGTTCCTCAGGTCTGGAGGTTGGCACCACTTGGAACTCTTGGGCGCGGGCCGTGCTAGGTGCCTTAGGTGCCTGCAGTTTTGGAGGGACCCTGGTACCCGTCCGTTGTTGGGCTGCAAGGGCCCCAGCAAAACCTGGCTTGGAGTTTTAGATTTCAGCAAGGGCCACTCTCTAGCTCAGATTGTGGTCTCACGTCGAGACAAAGACTTGAGCCTCTTCTGTTTTACCACGTGCGGCGCGTACACGTCGCGTCGTTGTTTCAAATTGGGCCAGGAATGCGTTAGCCGTAAATTGTCAGGGGCCAAATCCACCCTGCCTCATATTGTTTCTGGCCTCTACCCTCATTACAGGAATGAGGATCGTGTTTCCCAGTCCTCTCGGAAGGGGGGTCAACTATCTGTGTCATGCGGCCACTACCCCTTCCCCTCCCGAAGTCGCAATGCCAGCTGCGGGAACGGAGAAGTTTGTTCAGACGCCTGGGATGCTTGCGCTGTTAGCGCGCGTCCAGGCGCGAGAGTCTGCCGCTGCGCCTGGAGCTCACCCGCCTGCTACCGAGCGGGCTTCGAGTTCGAGCCTGCAGCCTCAACCTGTGCTGCAGCGTTGTCGTGTAGTCCTTTCACAGCGGGGGGACGATGAGCCATTGATCAGGGCACCTGACTTTGAATCTGGCTCAGTCTGATGTCGCTGCTGTTGTTTCTGAAGCCTGGGGTGAACCTGACAAACAGGTAAGCCCATCCCAGGTTTGTGTGCACAATGTGTGCCGATGCGGCCCGTGCTGCATCTGTGTCAGGGCCTAAGTGTCGCCCCCTCGGTCCTGCCCACTGGCTCGCAGAGGAAAACATCCTCCTCCCCCTCCTCCTTCCTCCCTCCAACCTATGGTGGTGGTGGTTGTGGAAAACAATCCCATCATAACTCCCCCCATGCCCAGGGAAGCGGTCGGATTTTCTGGGGCCGCGGGTTGAGCAAACACATGTCGGTGGATGCCAGGGGTTCCTTCCCCCTCTTTCGCTGCCCTCCTCCATCCGTCTTCTTCCTCGTAGATCGCGCTTCTCTGTCGTAGCGCCATGTTTGTCGCTGGGGCGGGCCAGGCGCTTGCCCTGGAACTTCCAGACGCTTTGTGGTCTCGAAGCTTGAAGCTTCCAAACAGTTACGCGCTGCGCGATCGAGGACAGGGGTCTTGAGAGCTGGGGCTCTCGCTCTGGTTCCGCGCGCGGTCGTCCATCAAACGTCCAGCACATCTCAGGAAGGTCGGGTGGGGGATCGCATGAATCAGTCGCCGTAGAACCCCGCGCAGTCGTCTTCAAGTGTGCAGCAGTTACGCTGATGGAGGGCGATCCGTTTTCAAAAGAGGGCTTTGTTTTATGATCCCGTAACAGTCCTGTATCAGTTACATGGGTGGTGGGCATCTCGTTGTCAAGCTGGGGATCCTGCTTGCAACTTCGTCACATATTAGGGCACGCAGTTCAACACGTTGCAGCAGTCATACCGATGGAGGGCGGCTCCTTTTTCAAATGGAACCTGCCCCGACATCCGATCTCAGATATATTCAGGGGAAATCGCGGATTTCCGCCGCCGGGATCGCTTTGGTTCCGCGCCAAATCCATGGATCGCTAATCCATGCTTGCGCGCCCCCGAGACATGCTCGCGCCGTGGAAGACACGACGCGGGTTTTTTTTCGGCTGCCCTCGGCCTCCGAAGGGGCGTCGGCGGGCCCAGGGACAGTCGCAAAACGGCTCGGGGCAGAAAGCCCGCTGGCCCTGGGCCAGAGGGTCGGGCACGAGGGACAGGGGGCCCCATGGGGCACTTGTTTCTTCCGTCAGCGGCGAGGCGGCGAAATCCGCTCCCGCGAACAGCTAGGTAGGGGTACGAACGAGCGAACTGGCCGTCGTGCAAGGAGGGAGGGGGAGGCCGAGAGGAAGGAGGGACGCTTAGACGCCGAAGAGTTCGACGATGAGCAGCCGGCGGGCAGGCCCCATGGGAAACACAGTAAGGTCTTTACAGGAGTCCCCGCATTGGAAAAACCAGGGCGTCGGATGCCTGGGAGGATGTGGTGCGCGGCCCCCGAGTGTCCCGACCCCTTCCCTGGGGCCATTTTCATTCGTTCCAGACATCCATCACCCCAGGTCGCCCCCGGTGCCCGCATGCGGCCGGCCCCCAAGGGCCGAGACGAAGGAACAACCCTTGTGGAAGTCGACTAATGGAGAGGAAGCATGCCGCCAAATAATTTCCAGATGTCTAAACAATAGTTCAAACATGTTTTAAATATGGTAACACATGTTTGAAGCATGTATGGAATATGTCTTACACACTTGAATCACATCTGTCATTCAACGATCGGGTTGTTAGAGTGTCCATTGCCATGGCATCCACAAGACTACCCGCCAGGATGAAGCAGATTATATCGTCGGGGGTTTGCAGCGACCCCGTGGGCGAGGGCCTGGCAACCTCGGCGTTGCCAGGATTTCCCGAGCTCAACGCTGCAGCGGTCGGGGGCCCACCTCGTGATGGCTGGGGCTTCCGCGGGGGCTCCGCTGCTGCATCCCTGCATCCCTGGGTCTCCCAGATGGGGCTCGAGCATATGGAGTCGGAGAGTCGCGCCACCTCGGAGAATCGCGCCACATCGCCGATGTATCGGCGATGCGCCTCGATGTGGAGCCCGATCTTCTCCACGCGGACGTCGCCGACGCATCGCCGACGTCGTGGATGCATTCCCGATGCATCGGCGATGCGTTGCGATCCTCGGACGCCATCTTTTCTGCTGATGGCCGGGGCTTCCGCGGGGGCTCCGCTGCTGCATCCCCGCAGCGCTCTCGCCCCGCACGGTCCCATCGCCTTCTCGACCGGCGGGAGCCCGGCGCGGCCTGAGCCCCGCCCTGCTCCGCGGGGCCCCCAGCAGCCCCGGCGCGGCCCGGGCTCCGCCCTCCTCTCGCGGGGCTTGTGCTCGGCCTCGCGCCCGCTGCCGCGCAGGCCCATGTTGTCGTTGTGCGAGGATCCCTCTTGATGGGCCTGTTTTCCACCACCACCACCACCACCACCACCACCACCACCACCACCACCACCACCACCACCACCACGACCACCACCACCACCACCACCACCACCACCATAAGTTGGAGGGGGGAAGGAGGTGGAGGATTAGGAGGAGGAGGAGGAGGAGGAGGAGGAGGAGGAGGAGGAGGAGGGCCCCCTCCCCCCTCCAACTTGTGGTGGTGGTGGAAAGCTGGCCCATCACTTATGTTGTCTCACTATGTGCTCCACTTGCTTCCTCTTGGCTGGCAGATTGTTGGGTGCCTCGGCCCCACCCTGCGTCACCATCCCGGTGCATGCTGCAGGCCGCTGTCCGACTGCCGCGCCCGCGGCAGCGCCCCCGCGCGCCGCGTCGGCGCGCAGGCCCCGGCGGCTCCGAGCCCACGCGCGTGCGCCTCGAGGCGCCGCCGTCGCCGCCGCCGCCGTTCGTCGCCGCCGCTGTCGTCGCCGTTCGGTGCCGTCGACCCCCTTCGTCGCCGCCGTCGTCGTCGCCGCCGCCGCCGCCGCCGTCGTCGTCGTGGTCGTCGTCGTGGTCGTCGTCGTGGTCGTCGTCGTCGTCATCGTCGTCGTCGTCGACGACCCCCTCGGGTCATGAAACAAAAAGATGGCTGGAGGCTTTTTCTGCTATTTTCGGCCTCTGTGGGCTCCTGCCGGGCCTCGGGGCCGCCAAACAATGATCCAGGAGGAGAAGCCGGGTCCCGTGGAAGGGGTCGAGACCTCCGTGGGTCGACGCTAGGAAAGATCATGACGCCGGGGGTCTGGGTCGCGAGGTCGGTGGAGAATCTATGCCTGGAGTCTGAGCCGTCTCCTTGGGGGGAGGACGAGCAGCCATGGGAATGGCGGCCCATGGAGGCCGTTTCTCGTGTGCCTTGGGCCTTGGGCCGTGGCGCCGCACGGCTCGCGCCACTGCTGCGCCGGCCTCTCGCCCAGAACGCTGCCACGACTTTGGTCCATCAAGGGGAGCCCTGAGCTGCGTGCTCCAGGTCACCCGCAGGGGCTGCGAAAACAAGAGCGCTTCGCGCGTCGCGGCCCGGGTTGCCGAGCGGTTCTTCTGCACGTCGCAGCGCGAGGGCAATCGCGCGCCGCGCATCGCGCGGCACGGATCGCGACAAGAGGGGGCTTAAGGGGTCCCTGGAGGTTGATGGAGGTTTCCAGGAGCCTCTGGAGGCCTCAGCGGGCTTCCCGAGGCCCAAGAATGGCCAGGTCAGGTCAAGTCCGACGGCGTGCGGAGGCCGCACGCGCCCCACAAGTGGAGACGGCGAAGGGGAAAACTGCGCAGTGAGGCACATCCCTCTACTGGGCACCAAGCTGCTGGCACGTGACTGCGAAGCCATGAAGTCTATGAATCCATCGTAGACAGTGGCCCACTCGAAATCACGAGTGCCATGAAGGCGTGCGTGTGATGCCTGCAACTCAGATGCCGATTGGTGTCATCGGTCCACCTTGTCTTCAAGAGTCCCTGGGATTGCTTGCCCGAAGAGGGAATTGATGTCATAAACACCTCTGGCCAACAATAATCATCTTGAACCCCCTTGCGATTTGGCCGCCGTAATCGCGCTCTGTGCATCGCGAAAGTATGAGCAGGTGACCTACAGGTCCCTGGAGGTCGCCAGAGGCCTCAGGAAGCCTCCAGATCGGGAGCCTTGAGACGGGGGTCGATGAAGACGGGGGTCAGCCAGAGCGCCAGATCTTGCAGGATCCTGCAGTGCCAGGGGCGCATTGACCCGGGTTTGGGTGCAGGATCTTGCAAGACCTTGCAGGGTCCTTCCCACTGACCCGGGTTTGGGTGCAGGATCTGGCAGGATCATTGCAGGAATTTGCAAGGCCTGACTGACCCGGGTCTGGGTTGACCAGGGTCAGAAGATCCCCGACCAGAGACGTCGAGCCGCCCTCGAGCCTCCCTCCCCATTGCCCAGGAGGAGGCTACTGCCCAGGAGGAGGCCCCTCCCGCCCCTCCCTCCCTCCCTCCCCTTCCTCGCTCCCCTCCCCTCCCCTAACCTCCCTCCCTCCCCTCCCTCCCTCCCTCCCTCCCTCCCTCCCTCCCTCCCTCCCCCATTGGCCTCGAGCCTCCCTCCCCTCCCTCCCTCCCTCGAGCCTCCCTCCCCACTGCCCAGGAGGAGGCCCGAGCTCCGGGCGGGGCGTCCGGATCTCTGGGCCTCGGCGCCCCGCAGCCGAGGGCCGCCTGGGCCGCCCCCGCCCCCCCTCTCCCCCTCCCTCCTCCCTCCCCCTCTCCTCCTCCTCCTCCCTCCTCTCCTCCTGCTCCTCCTCCCCCTCCTCCTCCTCCTCCTCCTCCTCCTCCTCCTCCTCTCCTCCTCCTCCTCCTCCTCCTCCTCCTCCTCCTCCTCCTCCTCCTCCTCCTCCTGCTCCTCCTCCCCCTCCTCCTCTCCTCCTCCTCCTCCTCCTCCCCCTCCTCCCCCTCCTCCTCCTCCTCCTCCTCCTCCTCCTCCCTCCTCCTCCTCCTCTCCTCCTCCTCCTCCTCCCCATCCTCCTCCTCCTCCTCCTCACCATCCTCCTCCTCTCCTCCTCCTCCTCCCCCTCCCTCCTCCTCCTCCTCCTCCTCTCCTCTCCTCCTCCTCCTGCTCCTCCTCCTCCTCCTCCTCCTCCTCACCATCCTCCTCCTCCTCCTCCTCCTCCTCCTCCTCCTCCTCCTCCTCCTGCTCCTCCTCCTGCTCCTCCACCTCCCCCCGCCGAGGACGTGCGCCCCAAGTGCTTCGAGACGGCGGCCGCGCGGCCGGTCCGCTGACGGGCGCGGCATTTCGCCGTGCGCCACAGGGGCCCTGAGCTGAAACGGGCTCCCGAGGTTCACGGGAGGAAAAGGTACCGACACCGCTGCCTTCCCCTCGTTGTCGCCTTTTGGGGCCTCCGGGGGGCCCGCGTCGCCGCGGCTGGATTCGCCTCGAAGTTCGGGTCAGAACGCGCCCCGCGAGAGGTTCGTGGAGTAGCGACGTCGGTAGGTTCGCGTCGTGTCGACCGGCGGCGACACCGCCGCCGGCGCTCGACGTGGAACGTGGAACGCCGCCGGCGACTCAGAATCGGACGGCCGATCGTTCAAGGTTACACGATTTCCGCGGCAGCGGGAACCGGCGCCGAAGTCGGCACTGCGCGAACCTGCCGTGTCGGAACTCTTCTGTTCCCCCCAGGGCCAGTGTCGTTCAGCCGATCCCCATCCCCGTGCCCATCCCCCGCGAGACCCCCACCGAATTGCCCCCCAGCTGGGGATACACCCCTCGAAACCCGGAGGGAACGGCCCATATCCCCATCCAGGGGGGCAAATCGGCTGGTGGGGCCCTGGCCACGCCGGTTGGGGATGGGGGTCGGATAGACGATACTCACAGGGGTGCTCCCGCGGTCTGTGGCCCTTCGGGGCCTCGCCATGCCTCCCCCCCCTGGGGCCCGGGGCCCTCCGAAGTCGGATCGGGGCGAGCTAGCATGGAGTCGGGCCTGTCCCTCTACAGGAGGAACATATTCAAAAATAGCCGACAAAACATGTGGGGACGATTTTCCCCAATCAGTGCTTGCGCTGAGGGGGTCCTCGCGGAAGTTGACAGAACAGGCGACAGTTTCCCGCCGATTTTGGTAGCAGGCTGGGTTCCCGGGTTCCCAGTTCCGGGTTCCCGGGTTCCCGGTTACTGGTTCTGGGCCGATTTCGGTGAGTTTTGGGTTCCCGGGCTCCCGGGTGTCCGGTCGATCTCCTCAGCGAAAACCATCCACTGATCGGGTTTTTTTCTCTGGTGTAATTTTCACTATTTTGGCAATTTTGGAATACATGTTGGGTATTTCTTTCGCCCCAAAAACGCCTGTACGGGGACAGGCCCGATTTAAAGCTAACAGTTCAGAGCCCCAGGTCGTCAGGGCTGGGGGCGGTCAGGGATAACTACAGGTTCGCGCCTCGGGGGCCCAAACCAGAGTTTATACCCCAGCCCGCAGTTGTCCCAGATAACTCGGGCGTCCAACCCTCCCGAACCATCAGGGCTGGGGGCGGTCAGGGGTAACTATAGGTTCGCGCCTCGGGGGGCCCAAATCGGAGTTACCCCGGACAGCAGTCTCCCGGATAATGCGGGCGTCAAAGCAATCCGAGGGATCGGCCCCGGCGTCGGGGACCCGTTTCCGTGAGAACCCCTTTTGGTTCACAGCAGCTTCTTCTTTCGAGGAGCAACCACGGCATGAGCATACGTTCTCGGAGGTCCGCGCGGAGCTCTTGGATCGTCTTCCGCGCGGGCCTCAGAGAATCTCTGTTTATGCAGTTGCTTTGTTTCCCTATCTCTGGGGAGCGCGGTCGCGCGGGTCGCAAGGCATTAGCGCGTCCACGATGGCTCTCCGTAGGTAGGCGTCTCAAGAGAGAGTCCAGAGGATGCTCGCGTTTGGAACGTTCTCTGGCCTTGTGCCCTCGTTGTTGCTGCTCCACGGCCTCCCCTGCTTCCTGGAGGGCCCATGGTCATCATCGGAAGTACTAAGTCCCACTGGGAGTCAGATTTCAGACCTTTGGGCCTCCGAATTTCTGCCCTTGCGCTGGGAAATACTATTGCTTTGGGCGCGCGCGAATTACGTTGTTCTCGTGGACGTAAATTTTTCTGAAGGACCTGTGTGTTGGCATGTTCGAGCGCAACGCATCAGATGATTGCTCGCATTCGACCCATGTTCGTTGTCTCCTCCATTGAATCGGCGTCTGAGTCTCGAGAGGCCCCGCTGTGCTCTTACATGTGCCCCGCAGGTGTCGGGTTGGGGATCGCTGGGGTAAATGTCAGCATCCTTTACTGTTTTTGTGAATTTGAAGTTTCGGGGGCGTGCTTGTTTGATTCGCGCGGTCCTCGGCGTTCCTGCTAGCTCAGTCACAAGATTGCGTCCGAGTAGTCTAGAAATCACGTTTTAGTAATTCAATTGCGTTGACCGTTTGCCAAGACAGATCCTAAACAAAATCGTAGGTGGAAGGGGAAAGGCGGCGAGGAGGGGTTGGCGAGGGGGTTTTCCGAAATAGTGGTTTCATTTCTACAGGCATTTGGCCGACTCCTGCATGGCCCTCGAGGCCCTCCTGGGAACAGACCCAGGAGGTGGGAAGCGACATTTTTCCCGCAGAACAGGGTGGCTGGGGGAAGCGTCAGGAAGGACAGGAGACAAGGAGTAGCGGCGGCGTCTGGCCCCTGGGCATTCTTCCAGGGGTGCAGTATGTCTCCCTTCCAGGGGGTGTACAGTGGGACTCTCTTCTGGGGTGTGTGCACTGGCACTCGTCTCCAGGGGGTGTACAGTGGGCCGCCCCTGCTCCGGGTGCACAGTGGCGCTTCGGCGTTGGACTCCGACATTGGACTCCGATCTTGGTGTGGGCTCGCCGCGCGACCGGGTGTACACTGGGATTCTCTTGTGGGTGCACAGTGGCGTTTCGTGTGAGACATCCTCGCAACTCGGCCCATCGAGGTCCCAGTGTACACCCGGTCTGGCGGCCACCGGTGCCCCAGTGATGGTCCCCGGCGGGGGGATTGTGTCCGACCCTGTTAGAGCAAGTCGTGGCCGGAGTCGGCGGTGCGCGTTGGCTCGCCAGTCCTGGGGTGTACATGGGCACGCACTTTTGGGGGGTGTACTCTGGCGCGCCCGTTCTCTGGGTGTACAGTGGGCCGGCCTGGCTAAGGGTCCACTCTGGTATCTGGACTGAAGCGCGGATCCCTCCAGAACGTTTTTTTTTCTCCTCCTTTTGTTATTCCTCCTCTTCTCCTGTTCCTCCCCCGCCCGCCAACGCATGGCCGTGTGCCGACATCGGGAAACGGGGGCGGGGGGCGCGGGGGAGGGGCAGGAAGACGGGGAAGCGAAGGGAAACGAGGTTGGGAGGGACGGGGAAGGGAAGGGGGGGCGAGGGGGAACGGATCAGGTAAGGATGAGAATGAGGAGGGGAGCAGGTGAACCCCCATTAGGGAGGGGAGGGGGGACGGGGAGGAGAGGAGAGGAGGGGAGGAGGGCCTGCGGAGTGTGGCGGCGCGTCTCGCGAGGCGGCGTCGGCTCCCTGCGGATGCACCGTCTGTGTCGGGGGCGGTTGCCCCTGATGATGTAGCTGTCTGTCTTGTTCCCGTCTTCGCGCTGGTCGGGCCCCCGCGCCCCCGTTGCGTCGCAGTTTCTTCCGGTTCTTGTGTCTCGCATGTGCATCGGATTGGACTGGCCCTACTTTGCGCGGGCACGCGCCTCGACCGTCGTTGGTGGTTGTGCCGGGGCGGGCGACGTCGGGGGCGGCGGCGGAGTTCGTTGCCCGCGGGCGCTAGCGTACGTTAGGCTCTGGTCTGGTTTTCTTGCGTCGCCCTGGCACGAGCGTTGCAGGCGCGAGGCGCGCGAAACGTTGTTTTCTCCCTGCCCGCGCTGCCGCGTTGATCTTAGGTTGCTGTTGCGAAACGGCCGCGAGTGATATGCCACTGGTTCCCCGTTGGGTTTTCCGGATGCACATAGTTCTCTGGTAGTGGCCCATGGCAGGCGTTCCCTCTCCGCGAGGCGGTGTCCACCCGGGCCTCTCTCCTCCTTCGCCTTCGCGTCCCCTCGACGTCCATCTCCACCCCTCCTCCTCCTCCTTCTCCCCCATTCACCTGTTCGCCTCAGACACGCAGCTCAGTTTCCAGGCGATCATCCGTCGCGTCGGACCAACAAAAAGACAGGGCCCGCCCAAGAAATGACAGATGCTGCAGTGGCTGCTGGCGCGCCCCCTTAGCGCGCGCCCGCGGGGCCCCTGCAGGCCGCCGGCCCGTCCGTGGCAGGCAGGCCGCGCGGCCCCGCCACGATTCCATGTCGGGGGGGCGGGGCCACGCGCCAACATCGACCCCTGGCCGTGCCAGCCCTGGGCCCAAGATCCGTGCGCGCTCCCCTCTGCCAGAGGCAACGTCATGGGGGGAATAGCCCCCGGGGGGGACACCTCGACCCCCAATCGCCCATTCGTCGCCGAGCGTGCGGCTCCGCTATTCGGGGGCCTGCCGCCGATTTGTCGGCGATGTATCGCCGATTCCAGGCCGATGCTGCCCCCTTGAGCAGCCGCCCCCCCCCCCCCACGCTGCCCCTCAGTGTGGCTCGGCCAGGAGGCGGGACGCGCGCCGATCCCTCGCCCAGGATGGGCCCTGGCGAGGACTGGTGCTGGTGCGCAGTTCGGCGCCCCCCCCTCGAGCGGGGACCGGCCCACGTTTTGCACGCCCCCGGGCCGCGCGACACGGCAGCCCGCCTCGTGCAGGACTGCTCCTGGCCCGGGCGCCCGCGCCGCTCGGCGGCGGGCGGAACCGACAGAAAGAGGCCGCGGGGGCGTCCGGCGCGCGCTGCCCTCGCCGCGCCGCAGCGGCAGCGGCAGCAGGCGCGCGTGCTCCTCCCGGCGCGGGCTCCTCCCGCGCCTTCCCCCCTCTGCACCGCCTCTCCGCCCCCCTCGCTCGCTCCTAGGCCCAAGACCCCCATGGGGAACCCGTGGCTCAGGGGAGGCCTGGAGACACGATGATTACTGATACCGCTGCCCCTCCCGCGTCGCCACGGCTGGATTCGCCTCGAAGTCCTTGTCCTCCTCTCCGAGCCATCCATCCTCTCCCCCTCTCCTCTCCGCGTCCACGTCCCCTTCTCCCCACATCCCACTACTTACCCCCCCTCGCTCCCCCCCTTGCCACTCTTATCCCTTTCCACCCCGTCCCCCACACACCCCTCGCATCGCTGGTTACGGCTTCTGCTACAGCTTCGCTACTTTACGGCACCAGTTCTTGGACACTGACGGTTCCGCCGGTTTCACAGCTGCTGCGGTCCACA